TCCGCAAATCAGAAAAAAGAAAGAAAAAGGCTTCTTGGGTTTGAACGGATCCTAATAAAGGTTTAAGGGTCCCATTGTAAATCGGGCATTGCAATCATTGCATTTGTTTGCTTGTAGCTAGCACCTGATGAATGGACATGCAGCGTCTGCTTAGATAAAAAAATTGCTAAGAAAAAGAATCAAAACTCAACCCGTCAATTTCTTTATCCTTCCCTCACATCTTATAAACCCATTTCTCACCCCCTCCCCTCCCCTCCCCTTTATCCGATCAGTTGCCGCTTTGTCTTACTTTTGTAGATTATCTTAATTCTAAACCTATTCGATTTTTTAATTTAATAAAATCATTTTGAACGTTACGACACACTATTTTTAACTCTTTAAGCGGTTCATGACTCCATAATGTAATAATTATGAAATAATAAAGATATAATTTACTGTAATTAATGACAGTAAAGATCTAATCATCCCACTGTAGAATCCTATAAATATACCCTTTAAGAAACTAAGTAGTTTTCATCTCCTCTTATATCTGTTAACTAAACCACCCAATTCGTGTGCTGTCAGCTCACTAAGCATTTATCTGCATTTACGAATTCCTAAAAAACATTATGATAGACAAAGATAAACAGTAATAAACAGGAAGTTATTCAAATTTTTTTATCTTATTTTTTCTTCATATTTTTCCCTTATTTACAACTTAATACAATCTTTTTATTCTCAAATATTTCCAGTGCTAAGAACATTCCCGTTGTTCTGACGAGTTCCCAAATGAAAATTTGAGGCAACTCGGTCAAAGGGGTTTATGAAATATAATTGGACATCCAAACAGAAAACAGAGATTACTACTTTATATATATTAATGATGATGATGATAAAAATAAATATAATATTTATTAATATTAAAAATTATGATAGAATAACCTAACCATGATATTTACAATATTTCTCTAGATAATAAAATGGAATCACGCAAGGATTTTTTTTTAAATTGTGTCGATATTATTTTGATTTTTTGTAATATCTTTCATAAAATATTTGTCATTAAATCCCCGCTTCTTCTCCCCCTTTCATCCCTTCCCCGTCCCCCTTTTCTCCTGCCCTACCCAACCGTCTCCATCCATCCCCCGACACTCCCTTTGTTACGCAAATTCAGTAGGTCAAATAATTAATGTATTTCTTTAAAAAAATAGTTTTCAAATCCAATTCTAAAACTAATTACTGTGGATTTGTGTAAATGGTTGAAAAGCTGATGTTTAATCTACAGGACTGTTCACAATATTAATCTCATTATTCTTTCATTATAATGCAATCACGGGATGAATGGGTCACACCCTTTGTCGGTCAAATTAGAAACATTGGCGTTAACATCACTAGCATTGTCTTAACAGGACAAACTCACAAAGATTGAAAGCAGATTTATTTCATAAAATTCTTTTCAGATTTCAAGATATTTATCGACTGTAAGTTATTATAAATTAAGATATTTAAGAATGTTTAAAGTCCTCAAATATGTTTTTAGATCTGATAGTATATCAGCCGTGTGTAGAATTTGTCGATCTGATGAAGATTTCTCGGAATTTTTTCAAGATCGTCTTGAGATGGTTTGATCTGGTTATATGCAGGTTTATGACTGATGTATCTTGAGATAGGTTTAATATCGGGGAATATTTCACAGGGAAGGAAGATTCAAGGGTTGACCCACAGCTATCAATTCCATCAGCTCGGCGCCCCATCCTCAAATATATGTCTGAGAACTAGTCTGAGTGGAAGTGTGCCAAGATATACACAGGTTTAACCACCAAGGATAAAAATTCTAATTGTTTAAATTTAATCAGTCTTTTTTATAATGTTGTATATGAAATTATATGGCACTTTTTGGATAAAAAACCACTCTAATCCATCATGCACCAGATAGTCCTAGAGTTTGCTTTGCTACAATTGCTTTTAGATTTGAGATTATTTTGTTATTTTCGAACCCATTCAGATTTTTGCTTTTTTCTGCATACATCAAAAACCCTAATTTATGTACGTGATAATCAAGATAGGGATAAAAATACCCGTCTAAAAACTAAGAGTCTTTGCCACAGACTCAAATTTTCTAATCCACATATCTTTACAATGCAACCCGAGGGTGTATTCACAAACTTATTCGATCTAACAGAATTCATAATTTGAAATATCAAAGATCTACGACATTGGGTTGCAAAAATATAAGGCTTACAAAACTTGAGTTTGTTGCAATGACTTAATTCCTTTCAACTTGACTCATGATTTAATTCAACTATCTTGATTTCTTTTATCTTTTATCATTGATCCTTTCCTAAAATATTCTTTATTCTAATTGTTTTGAAATTAGAACTTACCGATCAAAGACGAATGTTGTAACTCCTAAATACCACAATTTTCTCATCCTATGAAGAATTATCCCGATCTTGAATAATTTAATCAATTATCATCGATCACTACTACTCTAGTTTCAATAGGTCGGTAGGAGTTCGCAATTGTTATTTAATTACAGTGGTTTCACTTCCGAGGTTTAATATCTGCTCTTAGATACTTATAGGACAGGTCAGAAATAAATGAAGAAACAAAATTTAAACAAAAAATAAATAAAATTTTAAAAAAATATTGAAAAAGGATGAGAAGAGATGAAAAGAGAGGAGAAGAGATGGGAAGAGACGAGAAGAGAAGAGAAGAGATAAGAAAAGACGAGAAGAGAAGAGAATAGAAAAGAAGAGAAGAGAATAGTATAGAAGAGAATAGAAGAGAATAATAGAGAATAGAATAGAATAGAAGAGAATAGAATAGAAGAGAATAGAAGAGAATAGAAGAGAATAGAAGAGAAGATAAGAGAAGATAAGAGAAGAGACGAGAAGAGAAGAAAAGAGATGAGAAGAGATGAGAAGAGAAGAGAATAGAAGAGAAGAGAATAGAGGAGAAGAGAATAGAAGAGAAGAGAATGGAAGAGAATAGAAGATAATAGAATAGAAGAGAATAGAAGAGAAGAGAAGAAAAGAGAAGAGAAGAGATGAGAAGCGATGAGAAGAGATGAGAAAAGATGATAAGAGATGAGAAGAGATGAGAAGAGAAGAGATGAGAAAAGATGAGAAGAGATGAGAAGAGATGAGAAGAGATGAGAAGAGATGAGAAGAGATGAGAAGAGATGAGAAGAGATGAGAAGAGATGAGAAGAGATGAGAAGAGATGAGAAGAGATGAGAAGAGATGAGAAGAGATGAGAAGAGATGAGAAGAGATGAGAAGAGATGAGAAGAGATGAGAAGAGATGAGAAGAGATGAGAAGAGATGAGAAGAGATGAGAAGAGATGAGAAGAGATGAGAAGAGATGAGAAGAGATGAGAAGAGATGAGAAGAGATGAGAAGAGATGAGAAGAGATGAGAAGAGATGAGAAGAGATGAGAAGAGATGAGAAGAGATGAGAAGAGATGAGAAGAGATGAGAAGAGATGAGAAGAGATGAGAAGAGATGAGAAGAGATGAGAAGAGATGAGAAGAGATGAGAAGAGATGAGAAGAGATGAGAAGAGATGAGAAGAGATGAGAAGAGATGAGAAGAGATGAGAAGAGATGAGAAGAGATGAGAAGAGATGAGAAGAGATGAGAAGAGATGAGAAGAGATGAGAAGAGATGAGAAGAGATGAGAAGAGATGAGAAGAGATGAGAAGAGATGAGAAGAGATGAGAAGAGATGAGAAGAGATGAGAAGAGATGAGAAGAGATGAGAAGAGATGAGAAGAGATGAGAAGAGATGAGAAGAGATGAGAAGAGATGAGAAGAGATGAGAAGAGATGAGAAGAGATGAGAAGAGATGAGAAGAGATGAGAAGAGATGAGAAGAGATGAGAAGAGATGAGAAGAGATGAGAAGAGNAGAAGTCATCCTTGACTGTAGATTTTACCACATAAATAAGACCCTTCTGTCTAGTTCACAGTGAGCATTTTTTTCTACTTGACATTGAAATTGTATTCATGAATAAATCATAAAGGCAATTCCAAAATATTTTTTTAAATGCTGAAAAACATGGCTGAAATTTCAGTCCAAAGTTACAGTTTAAATATTTTCTCTTATGAACTCAATTTACATTTTTAATTTTTAAAGGACTTGAGTCTTTTTAACAAACTCAAATTTTCTAAGCCATATTTTTTTGTTTAACCTGTTATGATGTAAACATTTTAAATTTTAAATTTATATTTTTGAATATAACATTAATAGTTTGAAATATCTAAGATCTACGACATTGGGTTGCAAAGATATCGGAATTAAAAAATTAGAGTTTGTGGCAAAGACACAACTCCATTATAGTGCCGCATGGTTTCACCGAAATTAAATGAATTAAAATTAAAATTAATTGCCTTGACTTCTTAAGAGCTAATATTAGAATATGGTTTGATGTTTGAGAAGGTTTGATCTAATATTGAAATCTGGGTTTTATGGTTTGAGAAGGTTTGATCTTATAATGCAATATTTTTGTTATGTTTGTTTGTTATGTTATGTTATGGTTATGGTTTGATCTAATAATAGAATATAATTTGATGTTTGAGAAGGTTTGTTCATTATTGTTTGATGGTTTGAGAAGGCTCATCTAATAAAAAATATAATTTGATGGTTTGAGAAGGTTTGATTATTATTGTTTGATGGTTTGAGAAAGTTTGATCATTATTGTTTGATGGTTCGAGAAGGTCTAATAATAGAATATGGTTTGATGGTTTGAGAAGGTTTGCTGAAAGGAGTTCAATGTTTAAGATGAACTCTCACGAGTGTAATCCATATTCTATGGAGACAAGTTGCTCTTATTGGTGCCGTCCCGCCCCTTGCATTACTAAACACCAAAATTACCCCACCCACAACCCCCCTCAATAGACATCCCCGCCGCAACCACTACCACTCCCTCCCCATCATCCCCTCCCCCTTTCCCAACTCTTGAAGTACAGAGTAGATGATTAGATTGAGATGAAAAATATTGCTCAGTTTTATTTTGTACTTCGAACTGGTCGGACGTGAACTTTCTAATTTTTTCAACATGGAGGCAGAACAATACTTTAACCAAACGTTCCATCAGAGCTACACCATGTTCCAGAACTATAGTTATGTCCCAGAATATCCTCAGGAACAGTATATATGCTCTCCAGGAACCCAGGACTACTGTATGAGTTCCCCAAGTTCAGGAACAGGATCAGAGTATGAGGAACATGTTGGTTCTAAACCTATCTCAAGGTGGAAGGAGAAACAGATGAGACTAAGCCTTGATACTGTAGTAAAGAGAAGAAGAGCAGCAAACCTAAGAGAAAGAAAAAGAATGAACGGATTAAATGATGCTTTTGAGAAACTACGTGAGCATATTCCTGATCTAGGAGCAGAGAAGAAACTATCCAAGATTGAAACTCTTCAGATGGCACAATCTTATATTAAAGCTTTATCTATTCTACTCCAAGAGGAACAATCAGGAAATCCATCAATGCAATAACATTATCTGAAAAGAATACAAGAAATGTCGGCTGTGATCAAATATCAAAATATTGCTATGTTTGTATTGATATCTTATAGTATATTATAATTATATGTATAAATAAAATAAAATCTTTCACTCTGCCTTTGTTTTTTACTTTTAGGATGACATATATATTTTTTATTCATTTTGGTTTTTGAACTATCATAAGAAAAAGAAATACAGACCACATGTTCGAAACCGGCCGTAGCTATGTTGTAAAAGTACAAAAATTCCTTGAAATTTATCGAATTCACTTTAAAAAATGTTAATAAGAAATGTGAAAAATTCGTGTACGGGAATACACTGCCTGACAATTTCAATATCAGTTTAAAGACAGAAAACATGGATATTTTAGTTAAGATTTGTCCCCCATATTTTATTTAATAATTGCCCGCCATATTTTAGTTAAGATTTGTCCGCCATATTTTAGTTAAGATTTGTCCGCCATATTTTAGTTAAGATTTGTCCGCCATATTTTAGTTAAGATTTGTCCGCCATATTTTTATTAAGATTTGTCCGGCTTTAGGTATCGTACGTGCAAGGTTAACCAGAAAGGATGAGACTTAAATGACGACCTGAAACTCTCTAAATATAACGATCTGACAAAGTTGAATATTGTTAATTTTTGCAACAAAAATAGGATTAAATAAATTGATTAAAAACTAGGATTAACTTATTTGACTAACAAAGGCAAGTTTACAGATGCATGAAGGAGGAAAAGGATTAAATAAGTTCCCTTCACTCTTTAAAGCCTCGCCCTTTATGGATAATTCTGTACTATCATACACACACCACGTTGCTTGTCTGTCTGTCTGTTTGTTTGTTAAATAACCGTTATAAAACGGCTAAACCGATCGAGGCCAAATTTTTTTAGGCAGGTTTTTGGCTGGTCAAAGTTGACAAGTTTTTCCTGGAAAAAATGTCGAAAGGAATTGAGCCTGTGCCACAAACTCAAATTTTCTAATTACCTATATCTCTGAAACTTGATGGTGTAAACCTTTGACATTTAAAGCTTAGATTATTTGATCTAACAGATATCATAGTTTGGAATATCTAAGGTCTATACATTGGTTGCAAAGATATTGGGATTAGAAAATCAGAGTTTGTGGCAAAGACTCAATTCATCATTTTGAAAAGCGCGCCAATTTTAACAGAAAAATCTGCGAAAGTTTTATTTCGTCGCTCTGCTTTATATTAAAGTTAGAATAAAGTCTTCAACCTGTTCATGTATAATCTGTTTAAGAAAATCATTTTGAACTGAAAATTATAGTTTTATTTGACTAGAAGAAATTTAATTTTTTAAGATGATAAAATCTCTATAATTTGTGGATTTTTGATATTTTGCACACGAGCTTTTACCTATTACCGTTTTGAAGCGTGCTAGAGGTCCAGTGGGTAAAAGGGGTGGGTAGGCATTGATCAACAAAGTGGGTTATCCATGATCACATTATCAAATAAAAAAAATCCTGTTCAATTTTACATAAAGGGTGTCATATTAGATCGTCAATGGGTCTAAATTACGATTTTCGGGAAAAATCAGAAAACTTAAGAAGTTTGAATCATTTTGAAAAATTGAATAAGGCTGACATAAAAGTTTTTTTTTCAAAAAATGCTAGGTTTTTTGAGTATTATGTGTATATTTTAGCGTTAAAGCTTGGAGATAATCTAATATGATATGGGACGCTCTGTATTGAAGCTTTTCTAGAGAGAAGTCATCCTTGACTGTAGATTTAAACATATACTGCAGGGGCTGTCAGCGTAGTTTCCATGTCCTATTCACAAAGGTATCTTTAAAAGGTTTGTCTGGTCAAGTTTGTTTCTTTAAATCGTAAATTTTCATTTACGATTTCTCTTCTAAATTTGACTTGAGCATTTTTACCCTATAAAGAGCAATGGAGAAATTATCATAAATAAACACTTTTCGAGTCAGACAACGGTGGTATCTTCCACATTCTTCCGATTATGGTTTTAAGGGTACCGTTGTAAGTCTTTCCATGGAGGGTCACTTGAAATTGTACTGACAGTCCCTCTAATCTGCATGCAAAGAATAGTATGAAGAAAGGGAGTGAGAAAGAGAAAGAATGTAGTGTGAGAAATTACGGATATTCATCTTAGGAAAGGATATTATTGGAGGGGGGAGCGGGGAGCGGGGATATTTAGAAGAGACGTTTTCTGAAGAGAAAATCGTTGACATTGAAATATTTTGCAACGTTTTTTAACTTGGCAGCCCGGCTTCTTGTGTTACAAGATTATTTGCAAATTTTGATGATTTACCGAATAACAATATAATATTAGACACACAGATACAGACAGCTATAATAATATAATATTAGACACACAGATACAGACAGCTATAATAATATAATATTAGACACACAGATACAGACAGCTATAATAATATAATATTAGACACACAGATACAGACAGCTATAATAATATAATATTAGACACACAGATACAGACAGCTATAAAAACGTAATCTTTCCCAACCGGGTCAACTTTAAAGTTTTGATTTCATTTCACCATTCTTGTTTAGCTTTAGTTCTTGAGAGGTAATTGACAAAATGATTATTAATTTTTGCGTTAGAACTTGTAACTTCTGGATCTCTGTGTATAATATAGGTAGCGAAGAAGTGAAAGGGTGGTCTTCGCGTCATTTAGACAAATTTTAAAATTCAAGGGTAGTCATCACTGACATTAATAGCGGGGGGAGGAGAGTCTTCGATTTTAGGATTTTTTTCTTCAAAACAGTTTTTGCAATTTTTATTTTACGTTTATTTATTTGCAGAGTTGTTCACAAAAGATGAAACAAAATATGAAACAAAATATAAAACAAAAGATGAAACAAAATATGAAACAAAAGATGAAACAAAATATGAAATAAAATATGAATCAAAATATGAAACTAATTATGAAACTTAATATGAAACAAAATATGAAACAAAATATGAAACAAAATATGAAACAAAATATGAAACAAAATATGAAACAAAAGATGAAACAAAATATGAAAAATATAAAACAAAATATGAAACAAAATATGAAAGAAAAGATGAAACAAAATATGAAACAAAAGATAAACAAAATATGAAACAAAATATGAAACAAAATATGAAACAAAATATGAAACAAAAGATGAAACAAAAGATGAAACAAAATATGAAACAAAATATGAAAATAGGAAAGAAAAGATGAAACAAAATATGAAACAAAATATGAAAAAAAGATTAAACAAAAGATGAAACAAAATATGAAAAAAAGATTAAACAAAAGATGAAACAAAAGGAAAACTTAAAATCAGGCAAAAACAACTTTCTCTCGTTTGAAATTGATAAATCGATAAAGGCTGCAAAGATATAAGGATTAGAAAATTACAGATTGTGGCGGGTAGTCAGTTCCAAGGTTATAATGCAAGGAAAGTTATTTCCGAGATGTACGCATCTTTTGTACTGCAGTGTACTGTCTCTGGGCGGTAATGTAAACATAAGACGGATGTAGAAACCTGACATCGGATCCATCTTCCACATAAAAAATCACAGTAATATTCTGGTCAAAGGAAACTATTATGTAAATTATCAAAATGATCAAAATTTAATGCTTTTTAACCTCCTCAGATACTAAACGAACACTGATGTATCTATTTTTGTTTTCAAATACCGCCCAGAGAGAACTGGTTTCAATGTGTACGCAGAGTATACGCAACTCCAATTAACTTTCCTTGCATTATAACCTTGGTCAGTTCCTTTGGTTTAGACTAAGCTAAATATATATATATACAGATAGCTGTAGAGAACCAGAAGTTCCAGAAATGATACTGAATACAGATATGTACGTGCAGATAACCCTGTATTTTCTTTGCTTTGGAGAAGAAGAGGGGGGGGGGGGTCTTATAGTCTACTCTATTTATTAATGCGTATCGTCCTCCTTCCTCTTTATCTATATTGTATTTTTTATTAGTCACCATATTTTCCGTGTTCGTTATTAAATTAAACAATGAATATGTAAAAACTTTATTCTGCAAGACCCAACACAGAGATTAATAGGATCATAAAAGTTTTTTTTCTAAAGCTATTCACTAGCATGTTTTTTATTTCTTAATGTCTTCAAAATCCTATATTTTTTTAATATATCTCCTATTTTTAAAGAGCAAAAATCTAATCAACTCAGGGATAAATTAAATCCGAAGCGAATTATTGATGAAAATGTTACAAAAAAAAAACTTAATTATTTTGTTTTTCTCTTAGGTGTGCGTAAAAACAAAATTAGAGGAACTATGAGGAACTGAGTGTGCGGGGGGTTTTAATCATTAATTCTTTAAAGATTGAACACTTCTGAACTTTAAAACGTTAAACCCCCAAGAGAAAAAGTATAAATCGATTTAAATTTGTTACTTCAAAAGCTTCTATTTTTGACATTTAATCCAAAGAGAATTTTTATTTAATAATCTTGAATTAACTATATATCTATCTATCTATCTATCTATTTACAACTATCTCCAGTCAGTGAAACAAGTTTCCTCTGTAAAATAAGTTAAGAAATAACCAAGCTATCTATCTAGCTATTACTCAGGCTCTAAATGCCACAAAGGGACACAAGCGTAGCTTATCAATCTAGCTATTACTCAGGCTCTAAATGCCACAAAGGGACACAAGCGTAGCTTATCAATCTAGCTATTACTCAGGCTCTAAATGCCACACAGGGACACAAGCCCTCAGATGAAGAACCAAAATGGTGACAACTTTAACCAATTTGGTTAAATCTGTGGAACCTGTGGTTCTCTGGTTCTCTCAGGATATTGCGTAATTTGGTAATTACACTCCAACTCAGGATTGAAAGGGATTAAAGAATTAATGAGGGCAGGGGTAAAAACCAATTATATCATGGCTATTTAAAGATTTTACTAAGTCCGTAGACACTTTAACTGGGTTCTCGGTGATATTTGGTTGATAGGGAGGGGATGGAAAATTTGAATAGCAAGGTGATATATGATAGAAACTAATTGCTGAATGAGATTTTTAAATATAATAAAGGGTATTAACAGTTAGGGGCAAAGGGGGA